TTAATTTCTATGCAGAGTACTTCATGCAAAATGCCAGGCTGGGTGAAGCACAAGCTGGAATCAAGATTACTGGGGAAAATATCAATAACCTCAGATATGCAGATGAGACTACCCTTATGGCAGAAAGAAAAGAGGAACTAAGGAGCCTCTTGATGAAGGTGAAGGTGGAGAGTAAAAAAGTTGGCTTAAAACTCAACACTCAAAAAACTAAGATCATAGCATCTGGTTTCATCACTTCATGACAATAGATGGGGAAAATATGGAAAGAGTGACAGACTTTATTTTCTTGGGCTCCAAAATCACTGTGGATGGGGTCTGCAAGCAGGAAATTAAAAGCTACTTGCTCCTAGGAGGAAAAGCTATGATGAAACTAGACAGAATGTTAAAAAGCAGAGACATCACTTTGCCTGCAAATGTCCATATGGTCAAAGCTATGGTTTTTTCAGTAATCGTATATGGATGTGAGAGTTGGTCCATAAAGAAGGCTGAGTGTCGAAGAATGGGTGCTTTTGAATTGTGGTGCTGGAGAAGACTCTTGAGAGTCCCATGGACAATAAGGAGATCAAACCAGTCAATCCTAAACGAAATCAACCTGAATATTCATTGAAAGGACTGATGTTGAAACTGAAACTCCAATACTCTGGCCACCTGATGCAAAGAGCTGACTCATTGGAAAAGACCCTGATGCTGGGAAAGATTGAAGGCAGGAAGCGAAAGGAGTGACAGAGGATGAGATGATTGGATGGCATCATCAACTCAGTGGACAAGAATTTGTGCAAACTCCAGAAGATAATGAAGGACAGAGAAGCTTGACATGCTGCAGTCCGTGGGGTCACAAAGACACAGACTTGACTGAGCGACTGAACAACAAATACATATATGTATACATACAGACCTAACCCTTGAACAACACAAGGTTTAGAAAAATGGACTCTCTGCATAGTCAAAAATCCTCATGTAATTTTTGGTCATTTCTCTATATCCACTTATTCAGCCAAACCTATTAAAATCGTACAAACTTCCATAATTGTCACATATGCTTTTATATGAGTAATGCAACTCATAGTTTTTCTTTTAGGAAAACAAAAGAAAATTACTTGAGATAACATATGTTATTGAGAACTAATACTTTTAATAAATGAAGTTCTCGTTAAAGAACTGGAATTTCCAAACGTTTCTAATCCAAAGTTAGGAAAATTCTGAACCTTATTATTCTATTCAGTCACTAAGTTGTGTGACTTAGTTTTCTGCCTCTCATTTTCTGCCACTAGAGTGGTTGTGGTTGTGGTTGTGGTTGCTATTGTTGTTGTTCAGTCCCTCAGTCATGTCTGACTCCTTGCGACTCCATGAACAGAGGCAGGTCAGGCTTCTCTGTCTTTCCATTGTATGGATTCTATCAAACTGATGTTAAGACCGGACCCTGGTCACTTTGGTCTGTTCATGCCTAAGAATCACTAAGCAAAGAATGAATTTTTTTCAGCTGAGGTGGTTGTTCTTACCAAAGGGAAATTGATCTAGATTCTGAAATAAACATGAGGAAGCCTACGTCTGGAATCAAGCGATTCCTAAGGACTTTCTTAGTTTTAGCATGTCCTGTAACTAAAATCAATTGACATCTACAAGAAAACAATCCAAGCAGGACTACGAATGGTCAGACCCTCAGGAATAAAGTTTAGGGTTATCCAGCCAGGTGAAGAACCAGGACCAGCTGACAAGCTTGCTGAGGGTGAAGGGAATAGAAATGGGTAATAGAGATAAAGTAGTTATAAATACCAGTGAGAAAAGGTGACCACTGTATAAAACATGTATTTGGTTGTTATGAGTATTTCTTTTATTCTGTTTTGAATAAGTTAGAGTGCATTTATGATATACATGTATCTACTGATGTAGACCATCATCCTAAATGTGGGGCCCTTCTTGTTGACTATCAGCGCATTTCGACAATAAAAGTCCAAAGATGCAATAAATTGTCCCTCCTCTGCCATAGTTGTACCCACAAGACTTAGTCAGTATAGCTTCATGCCATCTCCACTCTCAAGGAGACTCTCAGTTCTTCAGGAAAAGTCCTTCAGATCCACTTTCTTCTCCTTGCTTTGGATTAGCCCAGGAACCTGGCATTACTTTCCCTTTGGAGTGAAAGTGCTTCTTTACCAACTGCCCTTTAGCAAGCTACTGTCTTGGATATGGCTGTGCTAAGTCAGGTAGGACCCAGGATGCTAGGAACTAGGGTGTCTCTTCAGCTGCTGACTATACTGAAAAGGCCTCCTTGGGAGAGTCCTGCCTGTTGTATTTCTTATGATACAACCTCACAGGACAGTAAGGTCCTGTGTGAGGACAGTGTGGAGTCAATATTCACTTTGAACTTTGCCCCTAGGATTCTCCTAGAGAAATGACTGGTAAATGGAGACTTTTTGGGTAGAGGGGAGGACTCAGTCAAGTGAGCTGAGAACAGCTCATCCTCTCAGTAGAGTCTGTCCTTGTCCAGAGAATAAGAGCTCAGCTGCGTGATGCTGTGGATCTGTCTGCTCAGCTCATGGAACATCTGTTTTGTAGGCAGAAAGAATTGCTGGGAAGCTACCTATAGATGTAGAGGATGCCCACCCCTGTCTTCAAGCCATTTTCACTGACCTGGGGAAGGATATGTTGACTTTTGGGGATAAAGTCCACTTGGTACCTCTCCATCTTTGGTCACTGTGCACATCATTTCCTGTGTTCCAGCCTTGTTAAACCAGCCTTCTCCAGCCTTCTCCACCTACTCATATAGTCTCAGCTTGGGATCTCTGAACACGCAGTCACTTCTGTCTGAATGTTTCTCCTTGTCTCTTTATTTCAGTAATTTCTGATCATCCTTCACGTCTCCACTTACATGCCTCCTACTGCTCCTCCTCCAAGAACTCTTTCAGCCTGGATCAGGGACCTCTTCTGGTTCTCACAATGCCCCAAGCTTGTCCCATTATAGCCTTCATTACTTTATTTGTGACCATGTATTATTTGTCCCTGTTTCCTCCACATGCTGATCTCCATGAGGTCAGAGAATGGGACAATCTAGTTCACCATAGTCCTGTCCAACTCCTAGCACATAGAACAGTGCTGGCTCTGTGTAAAAACCAAAGTTCTAATGAATGGATAAACCAAATGAGGTACCTCCCCAAAGTGAAACGTTTCCAGACTTTCAAAGACAGAAATTCAGACACATGCCACAATACAGGTGAACCTTGGGGACAATATGCTAAATGAAATAGACCATTCACAAAATAACAAATACAGGATAATTTGACCTTCCCAAAATACTCAAGTATCTAGACACCAGTAGTTAAATGGTGGTTTCCAATATATGGGGATAGATGGAAATGGACAGCTGTTGTTTAATGGACACAGAATTTCAGTTTTACACTTTCTAGAGACAGGTTGCAAAACAATATGAATATATTTAACACTACTCAACTTTACATTTAAAAATAATTCCATTCATAAGTTTTATGTGACATATTTTATCACAATCTAAAAATTCAGTTCAGTTCAGTCACTCAATCATGTCAGACTCTTTGTGACCCCATGAACCACAGCATGCCAGGCCTCTCTGTCCATCACCAACTCCCAGAGTCCACCCAAACCCATGTCCATTGAGTCGGTGATGCCATCCAACCATCTCATCCTCTGTTGGCCCCTTCTCCTCCTGCACTCAATCTTTCCCAGCATCACAGTCTTTTCTGAGTCAGCTCTTCGCATCAGGTAGACAAAGTATTGGAGTTTCAGGTTCAACATCAGTCCTTCCAATGAATACCCAGAACTGATCTGCTTTAGGATGGACTGGTTGGATCTTCTTGCAGTCCAAGGGACTCTCAAGAGTCTTCTCCAACACCACAGTTNAATAAAGCAGAAATAGGTGTTTTCTGAAACTCTCTTGCTTTTACAATGATCCAGCAGATGTTGACAATTTGATCTCTGGTTCCTCTGCCTTTTCTAAAACCAGCTTGAACATCTGGAAGTTCATGGCACAGTTCAGTTCATGTATTACTGAAGCCTGGCTTGGAGAATTTTGAGCATTACTTTACTATTGTGTGAGATGAGTGCAATTGTGTGATAGTTTGAGCATTCTTTGGCATTGCCTTTCTTGGGGATTTGAATGACAACTGACTTTTCCAGTCCTGTGACCACTGCTGAGTTTTCCAAATTTGTTGGCATATTGAGTGCAGCACTTTCACAGCATCATCTTTCAGGATTTGAAATACCTAAACTGGAATTCCATCACCTCCCATAGCTTTGTTCGTAGTGATGCTTCCTAAGGCCCACTTGACTTCACATTCTAGGATGTCTGGTTCTAGATGAGCGATCACAAGACTGAGGGGGTGAAAAAAGGTGTTCCAGAAACAAATTCATATATACATAAAATTTGGTATATAATGAAGTCACCAATTCAATTAAGTTAGAAAAAGATGATTTAAAATGATGGAGAACCCATTTCAGTTTGCAAAAATTGAATACTGTATTCAGTAAAGAAATAAAATTAGCCAAAATAAAATTGTAAACTCTATAAGATTTCAAATAAATCATGAGAAAGTCAAGTGTAACGTAGATTATTTACCCAAGCATACTTTGACCCTTACTGCAAGTCTATAAACACAAACAGAAAAGACACAAGAAAGATTAATCTGAAATTTTCTTAGGTCTAAAAAGAGCTTTCTAAGGTACAGAATTGGCCTAAGTTACAAGGATATGCTTATTGTATACCTAATGATGAAAGAAATGGCTAGATTTAATAGCAAACACCTTGAAAACAAATAATAATTTGACACAGAACACTTATCTGTGAGTCTGGATGGCTGAGGGTAGTTTTACAAATATATTCTTAAAAACAGAGCGAATTCTTGAACAAACAGAAATAAGGCAATTTTCATGGTTCCTAATATCTGAATGAATAAACACATATTAATACTATTCTGTTTCTGACTTTTTTGGTCAAAAAAAAAAATGGGAAAAAAAACTAAGAAAAAAAAACCTCAATGCCTATTTATCTTAAAATCTACTTCATTCCTGAAACCTTTCAAAGAGTTCTTCTCAGGTCTTCTAAGAATAATATAGCACTTTGGGACAAAGATACAGCTTAGAAGCCCAGCACTGGAGGCCAAGATGGAGAAGATCTCCACAGCCACCATGACCTTGCCCTTGGTGCTTGTGGTAGACTGGGAGAAAGGTGACCCAGATCCTGCAGAACCAGCATGCTGAAAGTCAGGAACTTGGCTTCATTGAAGGTGTCAGGCAGGTTCCCGGCCAGAAAAGCCAAGGAGAAAGTCCCCAGGGCTAAGGAGCCCGGGTATCCCAGGACACAGTAGAAGGCAGTGACTGAACCCTTGTTGCACATGACAGTGAGCTCTTTGGGGTCAGAATGAGTGTCCATCTCAAGGAACGGAGGAGAGGTTCCCAGCCAGACTCCACAGATAGTCACTCGGATCAGGGAGCACATGGGAATGACATAGTTAGAGGCTCCCGTTACCAGCAGTCGCCCCATGGTTCTTCCCGGTGTCCTGGCCTTGAATACCAGAATTACAGTCAAGGTTTTGGCCAGAACAGCAGCAACAGCTACAGTGAACACAGCTCTAAAGGTGATTTGTTGGAGGAGGCAGGTGGCTGTGCTGGGACAGCCAATGAAGAGTAAGGAGCAGAAGAGGCACAGGAGGAGGGAGATGAGCAGGACATCCCTGAGAGCCCCGTTATTGGCCTTGACTATGGGGGTGTCTCGGTGCTTCACAAAGATCCACAAATCCTCAGCTGTGATGACACCGAAGCACAGAGCCATACAGGCCAGTGACATCCCCAAGAAATCCTTGAAGGCCAGGAAGGTCAAAACTTTTGGGAGGCAGCGATTCCTCTCACTGTTTGGATACTCGAGCTGGACACTGGACACACTGCTCTGCATCTGGGGAGAAAGCAGACTCAGTATTTATTTTCAGAATTTGTTCTTCTTCCCCATCACCTTTCCTGTCACTATATGTGCTGGTAACTCCTGATATTACTGTCAGACACCTGAAGTTTAGATTCTATTCCTGAGCAAGTCACAATGCTTTTGGGTGCAGAAAAGGCCAAATTCATGTAAATTTAATCTTCAGCATGTGTAGAGGTCAGGATGGATGATCTGTGCTCAGTCAGTGTCACCAAATTCCTTACTATTTTATCTATTATCCCTAGTGTACAGGCAACAAAATTGAAAAATAACAGAAAAATTTCACTTCATCCAAATTAAAACTTTTGTGCATCAAAATCCCATATCAAGGGAATGAAGGGGCAACAAAGCAAAAGTAAGAAAATATGTGTAAATCTTCATTTAAGGGATTATATCCTCAATAAATGAAGAATTTCTATAACCTCACATAAATAACAAACAATACAGACCAATTAAAAATGAACACAGAACTTGTGTAGACATGTCTCCAAAGAAGCTATATATATATATGAAAGGATGTTCATCAGTACTACATGTTACAACATGCGAAGCAAAACAGTGAGGCACCGTTCTGTACCCATTAGGATGACTAAAATAAATAATTTTCAAAATGTCAGGTGTTGAGAACTGTAACCTTTGCACGTTGCTGTTGGTAATGTAAATGATTCAGCTGTAAAAGAAAATTGTTGGGAGTTCCTCAGAAAACTAAACATGGGAGAGCATCAAGGTAGGGAAATGGAAGTGGAGCTCACTTGGACCTGTCAATACATCATGAATACATGTAAGATAGTTTTTATTGGAAACAAACTGGAAACAAGTAGAAAATATTCTTATAAAAGTAAAACTGCAAGAAAGACCCACACAGACTCAGAAGTGGAAGAGAAGCTATCAAGTCAGGCCAACAGTCCTAGAGCCAACAAGAAAGAAGAGGAGGATCACACAGGCTCAGAAATCCTCCCTGGGGAGTGAATAGGTCAAAGTACATCTTGGGTGTTCCAGTTCTGGAGTCCAACACTGGACTGTGGGTAAGTGTTCACTAGGCTGGTTGGAAAAGCAGTGAGACTGAGAGTGAGTCTCTAAGAAACCTAGATTCTGCTCATGAAGAGTGCGCATACACACATACTCTTCCAATCTCATGGAAAAAGGCAGAGGAAGCACACTGAAATTTTTCTGGGATTCTGGCTAGTTTCTCACAACTGTTCCACTGCTTCAAACCCCAACTCATGTGCCAGTTTTGGCCCTTCTTGCTCCACAGTGCAGCTCCATTGTAGGATAAGACTGCTACAGATGTGGAAATGGGGAAAAACCAGCTTGAAACTGGTACAAAATCTAATCTGGATGATGCCACTAATTACAAATATTAATGGTAAGCAGCAGAGTGAAAGCATCAGGAACTGTGACCAATCTTCCTGGACTGCAAATGCACACACGCTTGAACACAACGGATACCTGTTTCATCCCTTTTTGTTTCAGCACCGCCCCTCTCAGGGGCAAAAGTGCCGACTTGGAAAGAGGTGAGAGCAAACTTAGAGCAAACAGAATCACTTAGAATCAAACCTCAGTGCTTCTACTCCAGACATTCTGGCCTGACCCGATCCCCACTTGGGTAGTGTTGATCACTGAACAGAAAAGAAGACCCTGCTCATAAAGGACTCTATCTTTAATTCCTCAGTCTTCTGCCCCACCTCCTACAACACTGAGAGCTGCCAGCATCCCCCGAGAAGAAGATATGAATATTGCTCACTTCTGATCCAGTTCCTCCACCAAAGCCATTGGGTACATGTAGACTTCTATAGATGCTCTAATGCACAATGGCATCTGTTCAAGGCAAGAATAGTCATCTGTTTCATCTAATTTCACATAGGCAGAGAAAGTTATGCAACATGGGAATAGTCTCAAATAAAAGAACACCAACAACAAAAGAAACATTTGTTAAACTGACAAAGGAGCACTTAAATATATGAATCAAATATTAACATGCATCAAGGGAGAAATTGACAATGACAGTATATTAGGGGAACTGAACAACCTACACACTTCAATGGAGAGATCATCCAGGTCAATAAGCAAATAGTGCCCTTAAAAAACACATTAGATCAGACTTCAAATCTATCTACCGGATATTTCATCCAAAAACAAAAGAGTACACCTTCAATTCAAGTGTCCATAACATGTTTCTGGGCTTCCCGGGTGCCACTAGTGGTAAAGAATCTGCCTGCCAATGCAGGAGATGCAAGAGACATGGGTTCAATCCCTGGATCTGGAAGATCCCCTGGAGGAGGAAATGGCAACCTGTTCCAGTATTCTTGTCTGGAATATTCCATGGTCAGAGGAGACTGGCGGACTATAGTCCATGGGGTCGCAGAGAGTCAGACATGACCGAGCAACTAAGCACAAGCATGTTTCTGGACCAGATGACGTAATAGGCCACAAGTCTCAGCTATTTTAAGAGGATCAAAATTATATCAAGGACTTTTTTGACCTCAATGGTATGGATCTACAAATCAGAAGGAAAGATAGGGATCATGGATTAAAAGATATAAACTACCTAAGTATAAAATAAACTACAAGAATATATTGCTCAACAAAGGAAATATAATCAATAGTTTATAATAACTTAAATTGAGTATCATCTATAAAATAGTTAATCACTATATGGTATACCTGGAGCTAACATAACAATTATACATCAATTAAAAATGTAATAATCAGAAAAATTTTATCATAGAAATGCTATATAATTGAGCAAATCCCCTTCTCTGTCTATACTCAAAGGAACTGAAAGCAGTAACATGAATAGATACTTAAACAATGTTCTTAGCACCAATGTTTACAGTAGTCAAAAGATAAAAGCAATCCAAATGTCTTAATGGAGAAATGGATAAATAAAATGTGGTATATTCATACAATGAACCATTAGTCAGTCTTAAAAAGAATGCATTTTCTGACCCAGGCTACAATGTGGGTAAATCTTGAAAATATTAGCCTAAGTAAAAGAAGTCAGGCTACAAAGGGGAAATACAAAATGATCCTACCCAGATGAGGTAATTGGAGTCTTCAAGCTCATAGACCTTAGGAGAGGGGGTAAGTGAGAGTTATTGTTTCAAAGGAATAGAAATTAAGTTAGATATAACGAGTTCTCCAGAGGGATAGTGGAGATGATTGCACAACAATGCAAACGGATTTGAGGTCCCTCAATTGTAATCATAAGAATGCTTTGAATGGTAATTTTTAAAAGTATTTATTTGACTGTGCTGGGTCTTTTTTGCTGCCTGGGCCTTTCTCTATTTGTAGTGAGCAGGGTCTACTCTCTAGCTGTGGTGCATGGGCTTCTCATTGCAGCATCTTCTCTTATGGCGTAGCACAGGCTCTAAAGTGTTCAGACTTCAGTAGTTGAGGTACATGGGCTCAGTAGTTGTGGTTCCCAGGCTCTAGATCACGGGCTCAGTATTTGTGATGCGTACGTTTACTTCCCCATGGTATGCAGGATTGTCCGAGACCAATGATCAAACCTGTGTCTTCTGCATTGACAGGGGGATTTTTAGGCACTGAGCCAGCAGGGAAGTTTCAGTAAATTTTATATTATGTATAATATACCATAATAAAAACAAATAGTACAAAAGAATAAATAAATGTGTGAAGAGATTGGTTCATGACTCCTTTATCAATGCCTTCACTTTCCTTTTCACTGGAAAAAAAAAAGTGGAGTTATCATAGGGTAATTAAACATTTTTATACCTGTGTGGTTGGAAATGTGTCTCTCTGGGCAAAAAGCACAAATAAAGCAACAAAAAGGCCTTCCTTCTTGTGGAATTTTCCTATATCCTGAAATGCAACTCTGGCTACAGAAAGATTTAGGTATCTGAAAGGAAAAATAGAGAGTCATTCGTCATAATTCTGCACATGATTAGATGCTATCAGAGGACATCTATATTTCTCCCAGAAGAAGAAAGGATGTCTCACTTTCTATTACATTGCTGTGTGTGCTCCCTACTCCCTGCTTGGTTGATATCATCTAGACATCTAAGTGTGGGTTATGAGGTTTGTGTTACCTCTGTCTTTCTTTTGAAATATTTATACAGACAACCAGAATTTTATAAAATTATTTCATGACTACAACATACCTTGTTTTCTTCTTGTTTAATCACCTCACCCCAAAATTCGATCAAGGCACATTTTCATGTTTTCATGATACTGAAAATTTACGTGCAGAAAAATATTTTACTATACTCCCATACTTGGCTGCATAGAAGGCTGTAGGTTTGAGGTAAAAGTACCTAATAATGTGAAAAGCTACCACCTTACTAAAAGTAGCTTCAAGAAACAATAAATGTAGGGTATGAAGAGACAAAGTATCAGTATGTGTGGTGAAATGAAGATTATGATCCAATTCTGCATGCCTGGTCCAAGTATTGCAGTTTTACCCAGAAATAACACATACACTAAAGGCATTTATCATTGTTTTATTAATCAACAAAATATTACTGTGGAATTTTCAACTAAAATGAAAGGAAATCATGTTCAAAGTTTTGACATACATAGTAGAATTGTTCAATGATCAAAGGACATGAAAATGACCTAAGGAATGTATGAAAGTGAAAGTAAAGTTGCTCAGTCGTGTCTGACTCTTTGTGACCCCATGCACTGTAGCCTACCAGGCTTCTCCATCCACGGGATTTTCCAGGCAAGTGTATTGGATTGGGTTGCCATTTCCTTCTCCAGGTGCTCTTCCCATCCCAGGGATCAAACCCAGGTCTCCCGTGTTGTAGGCAGATACTTTTCCCTCTGAGCCAGCAGGGAATGCATAAATGGAATTTTTAAAAATAGTTGAATACTTAATCTACATGTGATTATTTAAACATAAGTAGGACTTTCACAATACATAAATAAGGCTCAGAGTTCCCACTACATCCATGACCTTTATTCATTGCACTCACTCAACTGATATATGAATACATATGCTGAAATTTAAAATAAATGTCTGTACAAACATGCTTATTCTAGACAGTGGCTTGTATTGTGTGTAAGATTACTTAGTATGAAGTCTAGACATTGCATTCAAAGAGCGAATATAGGAAATTACATTGTGTTTGAACACACAACCCACAGAACTGAGGTGTCAGGCAGAGTCATTGCCCACTAGGCACTCTAGTGTGAAGCAGTAGGCATAATGCCTCAGCATGGAGTACCCTGTGAACAAGTGAAACTAGATCAGGCACAAAGGCAAAAGATGAGAGAGGTGGCTGAAGATGATGAAGAGGGATGGTGTTCACCAAAATCACAAATGACTGCTGAAAAATCATTAAAAAAAAAAAAAAAAAAAAGGAAAACCACTGGAACCTACTAAAAAAGATACCTTACACCCAAAGCAAAAAAGAAGCCACAGCAAGATGTTAGGAGGAGCACAATGGTAAAATCTAATCCCATATCTGTTGAAAGAACTACCCACAAACTGGAAAAACATTGTACTACAGAAGTTCTCCCACAGGATTGAAACTACTGAGCCCCATGTCAGACTTTCCAGCCTGGGGATCTGGCAATGGGAGGAGAAGTCCAGAGAGAACCTGCCTTTGCTGACCGGTGGGGTTTGATCACAGGAATTCCACAGGACTAGGAGAAACAGAGACTTTAGTCTTGAAGGATGCACACAAGGTTTGTGCACCTGAACCCGGAGTGGGGGTGGGTGGACAGTGAACTCATAAGAGAATGGGCCAAACAGACCTGCTAGTATTGGAAAGTCTCCCGCAGAGGTGAAAGTAGCTATGGCTGATTGCAGGGACAAAGACCCCAGCAGCAGCAATTCTGATGAGTACTCATTGGCATGAGCCCTCCCAGAGGCTGCCATTAGCCCCACCCAATAGTCTATATATTCCAGTACTGAGATGCCCCAGCCAAATAATCAATAGGGCAGGAACACAGCTCCATCTTTCTTAAAGTCCTCCTGAGCATGACCCTGCCCACCGGAGGAACACAACCCAGCTCCACTCACCAGTGAAGTTTCTCCCCAGGAACCCTGCACAAACTTCTTAGATGGCTTCATCCACCAGAGAGCAAACAGAAGCAAGAAGAAATAGTACCCTGAGACTTGTAGAATGGAAACCGGAGTCACAGAAAGACAAAATGAGATGGCAGAGAGATATGTGCCTGATGAAAGAACACAATTGATAACCTACTGCAAAAAGAGTTCAGAATAATGATAGTGAAAGTAATCAGAGATTTCAACAAAAGAATGGAGGCAAGGATTGAGAAGATGCAAGAAATGTTCAATAATGACCTAAAAGAACTGAAAAACAAAACAAACCAGCAGAGTTGAACAGTAAGATAATAGAAATAAAACATACACTAGAAAAACCCAATAGCACAAATATTAAGGGAGAATGGAAGGGTTACCTGGAAGACACTGCCACAGAACAGGAAAAAGAATGAAAACAAATGGGGACAGACTAAGAAACCTTTGAGACATTAGATGAACCAATATTTGCATTATAAAAGTCCCAGAAGGAAAACAGAGATAGAAAGGTCCAAAGAAAATATTTGAATGAATAATAGCTGAAAATTTCCTGAATGTAGGAAAGGAAACATTCACCCAAGTCTAGGAGGCACAGAGAGAGTCCCAGGAAGGATAAGCTCAAGGAGAAACACATAGAGACACACAGTAATTAAACAGACAAAATTTAAAATCAATGAAAAAAAATTTTAAAGTGACACAGAGAAGGCAGCAAATAACATGCAAGGAAACTCACATAAGATAATCAGTTTATTTATCAGTAGAAACTATACATGGCAGAAGAGAATATTTAAAGACATGAAACGGAAGAACCTACAACCAAGAATACTCTACTTAACAAGGATTTCTTTCAGATTCAACAGACAAATCAAAAATGTTACAGACAAGCAAAAGCTAAAATAATTCAGTGCCACCAGAACAGCATTGTAACAACTGCTAAAGAAAATTGTCTGAGAAAAAAAAATGCCACGCCTAGAAACAGGAAAATTACTAAGGGAAAAGCCTACAGGTAAAGGCAAACATGGGCTTCTCAGGTGGTTCAGTGTAAAGAATCTGTCTGCCAATACAAGAGATGCAGGCTCAATCCCTGGGTTGGGAAGATCCCCTGGAGAAGGAAATGGTAACCTACTCCAGTGTTCTTGCCTGGGAATCCCATGGACAGAGGGACCTGGCAGGCTACATTCCATGAGGTTTCAAAAAGGTCAGATATGATTTATAGACTAAACAACAAAGGCAAACATACAGTAATGGTAGGAAATCACTCTCAAATATGGTATCAAAACCAGCAACTGTAAGGAGAGCACAAATACAGGGTGTATAAAATGCATTTGAAATTAAAATACCAGCAATTTGAGAGTCTTATTTAAATGTAGACTGCTATATCAAAGTCAGTTGGTAACAACAAAACTAAAATCTACAATAAATACAACACACAAAAGAGAACAAAGAATCCAAGCATGATACTAAAGTTAGTTACCAAACACAAGAGCAGAGAATAAAACAGGAAGAGATGAAAAAATACTACAAAGTAAATCCTAAATAATCACCAAAATGGCAATAGAAACATACGTATCAATAATTATCTTTGGATTGAAATGCTCCATCCAAAAGAGGTAGACTGGCTGAATGAACACAACAACAAGACCTGTATATATGCTGTCAACAAGAGATGCATTTCCAATCTGCTGCTGCTGCTACTAAGTCACTTCATTCCAATCTTGGGACAAGTAAAGATTGAAAATAAGGGGATTAAAAAGGTTGTATAATGTAAATGGAAAACAAAAGAAAGCTGGAGTAGCAGTACTCGTATCTTGATGAAATAGAATTTAGAATAGAGACTGCTAAAAGAGACAAAGACACTAAATAATGATCAAGGGATCAATGTAAGAAGAGCATATGACAATTGTAAATATATATGCACCCAACACAAAAGCACCTTAATATACAAGGCAAATACTAATAGCCATAAAAAGGAGATATTGAAAACACAACACTATTTGGGAACTTTAACACCCCATTTCAGCAATGGACAGATCATCCAGACAGAAAATCAATAAGGGAACACAGGTCTTAAATGACACGTTACAGCAGATGGACTTAATTGACATTTATTGAGCATTCCATCAAAAAGCAGCAGAATACATATTCTGCTCAGTGCACATGGAACATTCTCTGGTATTGATCCCATGATGAGAAACAAAGTGAACTCATAAAAATTTAAGAAATTGGAAATCATATCAAGTATCTTTTCTGAACACAACACTATGAGATAGGAAATCAATTAAAAGCAAAAAATAGTAACAAATACATGGAGACTAAACAATATGCTACTAAACAACCAATGAATTACTGAAAAAAATCAAAGAGAATATAAAAAATACCTACAGAAAGTTAATGTGATAGCACAGCTATTCAAATCTTATAAAACTCAGCAAAAGCAATTCCAAGAGGAAAGTTTATAACAATACCATCTTATCTCAGGAAACAAGAAAAGTCACAAACAACCTAACTTTACACCTCAAGCAACTCTACAAGAAGATCAAACAAAACCAAGTTAGCAGAAAGAAAGAAACTATAAATATCAGAGCAGAAGTAAATGAGATAGAGATGAAGAAAACAATAGAAAAGATGAATGAAACTGAAGACTGGTTCTTTGAAAAGATAACAAAACTGACAAAACTTTAGCCATACTCATCAACCAAAAGGGGAGAGGGCTCAAAGCAATAAAATTAGAAATGAAAAAGAGAAGTTACAACAGACAACACAAAAATAAAAAAGATCATAGAGACTAATACAAGCAGCTAAATGCCAATAAAATGGACAATCTGGAAGAAATGGACAACTTCTTAAAAGGTACAATCTTCCATGACTAAACCAGGAAAAAAATAGAAAATATGAACAGACCAATCACAAATAATGAAGTTGAAAGAGGGATTAAAATTTTTTCAGCAAACAAAAGTCCAGGGCCAGATGGCTTCACAGGTGAATTCTATCAAACATATAGAAAAGAGCTATTACCAACCTTTCTCAAACTCTTCCCTAAAATTCCAGAGGAAGGAATACTCCCAAGCTCAATTTATGAGGCTACCATACGAAACCACACCATACCATACCAGGCTATCTGATACCAAAACTAGGCAAAAATGTCACACAAAAAGAAAATTACAAGCCAATATTTCTGATGGATGTAGACATAGCAATATACTAGAAAAATGAATGCAATGATACATTAAAAGGGTCATACACAATGATCAAGTGAAATCTATCCCAGAAATCAGGGATTCTTTGGTATATGCAAATAAATTAATGATATAGCATATGAACAAAGTGAAGAATAGAGACTTTATAATCTCAATAAAGGCAGAAAAAATATTTTGACATAATTACATCTGTTTATGCTTTTAAAAAACTCTCCAGAAAGTGGGCATAGAGGGAAGATTTTGTGTATGTGTGCTCAGTTGTGTCCAACTTTTTGTGACTATGGACTGTAGTCTACCAGACTGCTCTGTTCATGGAATTTTCCAGACAAGAATACCAGAGTGTGTTGCCATACCCTCCTCCGTGGGATCTTCCCAACCTAGGGATCAAATCTGTGTCTCCTGTGTCTACTGCTCTGGCAGGTAGATTCTTTACCATGGAGCCACCTGGGAAACCAGATGGAACACATCTCAATATAATAAAAGCCACATATGACAAACCTACAGCTAACATCATACTCAATGGTGAAAAGCTGAAATCATTTCCTTAATGATTAGGAATAAGATAAGAGTGTCAACTCTCTTCCCTTTTTTAAAAATAATTTTGGAAGTCCTAGCCACAGCAATCATAGAAGAAACCAAAAAAAAGTATTTCATATTGGAAAAGAAGAATAAAACTGTCAATGATTGCAAATGACATGGTAAAATACAAAAAAAATATCCTAAAGATGCCACCAGAAAACTACTGGAGCTCATCAATAAATTTTGTAAAGTAACAAGATGCAAATAATACACAGAAATCTGTTGTATTTCTAGATACTAGCAATGAAAGATCAGAAAGAGAAATTAAAGAAACAATTACATTTATCACCTCATCAAAAAGAATAAAATATCTAAGAATAAACCTATCTTAGGATAGAAAATACCCATACTCAAAAATCTATAAGACACTAATGAAAGAAATAGAAAATGAAACAAACAAATGGAAAGATATACCATGTTCATGGATTGGAAGAATCAATATTATTAAAATGACTATATCACCCAAAGCAACATACAGTCAATGCATTTTCTATCAAATTACCAATGATGTTTTCATAGTACTAGAACAAACAAATCTTAAAATTTGTATGGATATACAAAAGACACTGAATAGTCAAATCAATCTTGAGAAAGAAAAATGGAGCTGGAGGAATCAGGTTCTCTGACTTTAGACTCTATTGCAAAAATAATGTCATCAAAACAGTATGGTACTTTCAAAAAAAGAGACAAGCATATCAAATAAACAGAATAAAAAGACCAGAAATAAACCCACCTACCTATGCTCAATTCATCTACAATGAATGAGGCAAGACAATATAATGGAAGAAAGACAACCTCTACAATAAATAGTGTTGGAAACACTGGATGGCTATATGCAAAAAAAAAAAAAAAAATTAAATTAGAACATTCATTAACACCATACACAAAAATAAGCCCAAAATATATTAAGGACCTAAATATAAAACTGGATACTATAAAACTCTTAGAAGAGGGGCTTCCTTGTAGTCCAGGGGCTAAAACTTACATATGGATGTATGGGGCCCAAGTTTGATCCTTAGTTGGGGAACTATATCCCACACACTGCAACTGAAAATTCCACCTGTCACAGTTAAAAATCCCACATGTTGCAATGAAGATCAAAGATCCTATGTGCCACAACTAAAGATCCAGCATGGTGGATAATAAATAAATAAATAATAATAATAAACTTTTAGAGGATATCATAGGCAGAACACACTTTGATATAAATCACAGCAATATCTTCTTCAATCTGTTTTCTAAAGTAATGAAAAT